TCAGGTCAGCTTACGTCATATTGAGTGTTCTCTAAATTTTCTAAGATACAGACAAAGTATTAATTGAAAAGTTCAACGAGCAGTAAGCAGAGATTGTGATTCCTCCGCGGAAACAAATTACGTTGCCGCAATATTAATTATACTTGTCATGTAGTCATCCCAAACTTAGCTGATTATTAACGTTGGGGTGTTGCATCAAAAGTGGATGCATTTGTTAGAACACAATCGTTACGAGGGAAATTACTCTGTCTAAAATTTGTCGAGGTGTGCTACCCCATCGTCGAAGTTAGAACAGGGATATCAGGAACTGCTCTGTCCGAGACTGGCATGTGACAGGGACAGTGAGTACTATTTCGTCTGGTTGAACAATCATCACGCCGACATCGAGTACCTGTGATGACAACTCAATGATTAACGACTCGAATTTCGGCCATCGAACAGTCATCATACCAAGTGCAACCATTCGGGATGATGCGGACAGCAACAGTTTATTTTCATAGGTATGCTGCAGCATGTTGGCTGCACTGCATAAATACTGCACGCCATGCGCATGGAAAAGCCCTATCGGCCGTTGTCGCTGATGATGAGCTCGAGCGTGAGTCCGAAACGTCAAGCGACTCGTCTCCTCGATTTTGTCGATGTCGGCAAGGGGTTGCTTTTCCTGCATTTCAACTGAAATCATGGACTGGCATTCGCGAATTCAGAGGCTCTCAAGTGAGTACATAAATCGTTAGACTTCAGAAAAAAGAGTCTCCCTGTAATGCTTCCGCCTTAAAGTGTCTAATTTGCTTTTGACACTTATGTAATAGACCAAGATACTGTTTTTACCCAAGCTTGATTTCATTGGCATTATATATAACTCACTCTCCAACCCCTACCCTGGACATCACTCCATTTCTCGCTTCGGTCAGCCAACTGATTTGACGACATCCAGCAGGCATTGTATACCCAGAAAATGGTTATCATCTTTTTAGACAAAGAATGTTGTTATTAATTGAAGTGCAGCCTGTGGTATTAAAAGCAAACGGTGTCTATTTGATTGCTTTGTGGTGCCGTCATGTACCGCCTGATAAATGTGAACCGGCAAACTAATTCTAGTCAAATACACGCTTGAGACTACCCTTTGTTACGTCTTCTCCCGTAAATCCAAATGGCCGTCAGATGCAGGGCCAAGGCATTTTGGCTTTGCGTCGAAGATTAATTTGAGAAAAACGTTCATTTAGATCCCCACATGTTACGGCGGAATGTGTAAGTTAGAAAGTTTTACCTACCGCATGTAGAGCCTGTGAGGAAGATACATTCGGCTCTTTTCAACTTGCGATGCATTGCGTTTTAAAAAACACTTTTGCCAGTTTTAGAAGGTGGAAAACAGATGAGGTAGAATGTAAGACACTCCACTATGTTGGCTCCCTTTGTAAACCTCTTCATCTAAATATCTGCTATTTTAAGTCACAACAGAATGCCATTACCAACATTCAGGTGATTTGTGATACATGACAATAGGAAATCGTCACCAAGCTGATATAGGTGGTTTTGCACTACCAGACAGATTGCTAATTTTAATGTTTTACCTAAACCTTAATGGTACTTCTAATCTACGTAGATTTTCATCACAATAGCAATTGTATTATCGGAAATTTCCTATTCCCGTAACTTAAAATCGCAAGATCAGTATGTGGTCGGTTGATTAGGTCGCAGAGAATTGGCAAAACCTCGGAAGCCATTTCTTGCCCACAGACAGTCTTGGAGCACGCGCAAAATTGTGCTCGGGTGTGGTTATTCACCAAAAATAAAAAAAGATCGGCTTCAAGCGAAGTCCTTGGGCGTTTGGTTTACTGCGGGCTCATGGTCTTAAATGCTTCATACATTGCTGGTTTCAAATCGTCGAGGTCGTTGTGAGTCCAAGTGATTTCGTTTTCCAAGTACAGCACCGCAAAGAAAGGGGAATCGCAGCCATGGTTAACATTGACATAGACATACGATAAATGTCCCCCCCAGCCGATGATCTATGCTCTGTTGAACTGCATCACAACAGTCAGATGCACATGTACCTTGTAGTTTTAATATTAAGCGCACTGTGATTGGCCGTTCGCAGTTGCGTCAATATGAAACACTGCGACCGTTATTTGCTGACTGATTCGGACAGTTGGCAGCTGCATGGACAAATGAATTAATATCGATACATTTGCTCCTACGACAGTGGGGAGTTCGATGTCACGTAGATGTTCCCAACGTGCTGCCTGGTATCTGGCTAAGGCAGAACACCTCAACTTAGGAAGAAGGCTGACCGATCAGGCCTTCTTCACTTCCAGTGGATCTTGCCCTTCTGTCGCAGATAGCTGAAAACCCACTAATTCGGAGCTCACTTCGGCTGTCTGAAGGACAGTGGATACTGACAACACTTTTGGTCGACCAATGAGGCCTAACCGCTTCAACAAGTATTCATCGATCAGACTGGTGTCTGAGCCACTATCAAGAAAGGCATACGTTGTAACCGAACCGAGACAACCAAACACTTTAATGGGTAAGCCTCCCAGAGAAACGACTTGCCCTGTGCCGTATGTTGTGAGGGAGTGGGTCGCTTCAGTACTCAGCTCTGTATTCTCTTTCCTCAGAGACGCACTAGGCCCGTCTTCTGGTCGGTGCAGCAGTGGATGGTGGCGCATGGAGCATCGTCCGACACCACATGTCTTGCGCGACCTGCAGTTGATGGCATTGCATCAATCAATTTCGAGAGGCGGCATGCGTGCACTCATCCAAAGGCCCGCCATTTAAATTTGAAATAACTGCTCGGCAGCGATATTGTTTACGCCCGGGGTCACTTACTCCGGGGAGGAACTGCGTTGAGCAAATGAGCCGAACATCCAAGAGCATTGTAGTAGCACACATTCTGATCCTCCGTACTGTCGCTTATTAAAAGGGGACACTTTGCTTGTCATTTAATGATAAAAAGTAATTTAGTGCCCATTTGTAGGCATTGTCAAAAAGGCATTGCGTTGTCGTATTTTTACTCCGATGAATACCTTAAAGCTTCTTGATGAACCTAACGCAGCTAAAAACAACCGGTCTGAGTTTGGTAAATTTATAAAAGCAGAATGAGTGGAAGGCAGTTTACCTTTTGCTAAATGGCCCTGCCTTACAGGCCTGATTATGAATAGTCGAAAGCATACGTTTGCCCGATTTTAATTTGCAGACGTTAACATTTACCTCGATCCTAGCATTGCCATATCATCAGCCCTAGTCCCAATCCTAACCCTAATACTAAGCATCATATTAGCCGTAACCATATTCTTTACCCAAATTCCTACGCGCCTCTGGCAACTTAGCGCCCGCACGTATGAAATGCGTCTTTCCTTCGTGAATACGAAGTGCGGGTCAGAGTTGGTCAAGTGATTCGAGTGATGGGCACCCATAAATGTACAATAAATCCTATCTCGACTACACCGAACTATTTCACCTGCTTTATGATCTGTTAATCAGCCTGCACGACTCGCATCGCGCGGTTTATTGGCATATAACATCTATCAGTTTTGCCACAACGAGTTCCGCAAATTGGCTTTCATGAAAGTGATGTGATTTCGGGCCTTGATAGCCTTCAAATGGGGGTTATAATACGATTACGTTGGCGGGGACACAAGCAAACCCAGTTTTATGTCCATGCTCATGGAATAAGACGCCTTTAGAATATCACCCACTTAACAGCATAAAATTCGTCAAAATTACCACTTTTGCTTATTCGTTCCGAAGCAAAAATCACGGAATCTGACCCCGAGCCACACAATTAAATTATTCGAGCTGAGAGTGCGCAGAAGGGTAAACCAAACCACTTTTCGAGTGAGGAAGAAGAATCGGATCCTGCATAAATGATCGCAGGCCGATTGTGCAACGGTGTTACAAAGTACTGCAGACAACTGTCCGAAAATTTAAGATTGGACATCAGTTCACTTGCATTTCCACCAAGACAACTACTCGGGTCAGGAACCAAGGGCGAACTGACTGAAATCCGAATCTCTTATTAAAACTCCATCGATCGAATGCTGACCTGGCGCATTCACTTCAACGTTCGCAGCACTGTTTGCTGAGTGGTTAGTTAACTCTATGTCATTTCCTCTTCCTTCTTACTATTATCCCTGGTAAAGGACGCCTGCGAAAAATAACCATGTGTACGCGGTGATAAAATCTACGTGCAAATACGAAAAAACTCAGAGCTTACACTTTTTGATGCTCTCTTTCCTGTTCTTACTTTGAAAAACCTGCATTTTGCCTGAAGCATACTGCAATAACCTCAACACGTAGGAAATCACATGACCTGAAATATACATGTCATTATGTCTTACGCAGATGAGATAGGTTGGACGAAACGGAGCTTACTTTAAATGCGTAAACAGAATTCAGCAAGTACCGGTTTACCAGCCTTATTATATATTCACCACAAATTTAAGACAACCGTCCCGATAACGACGTTTTGCTTAAGGATTTGTGGAGAGCAGGATGAGTCCTTACAGATATGGTACGACAAGGTCCTGATTGGAAGCTCGTTGGCGGATCTCAGACCGGAGGTGACGTTATTCTATTACCTGCACAGTAGGTTACTTGCTTGTATGATGCGCAATGAAACAGAATTTCCTCATTTCCGATACATCTACTAGACTATTAGTAGTTTCTGAAGCACATGCAAAAGCTCGACCGTCGTGCCGGGGGACAGCTCAAAAGCAGGCTCGATGACTTGCGTATGAAATAGATTATATGAGAGTACACTCTCTCCTGCCTGCCTGTTCACGGTGTCAAGATATGTGCAAGAAGACCTGAGGCGTAAGAGGAGGCAGGTGGCTAGTAAAACGGCTCTTTTGTGGAGATGGCGACAGGGGTTGTCGTCGACATGGATGCCAAGTCGGGAGCTATAAGGACACTCTGAAGAAATCCGTGATGTGCCTCCAGTACAGCCCTGCAAACAGGGAAAACAGCGCTCGCAATCGATCGGCATGGAACTATTCGATCACATGCTCATTCACGACAGCGGAATTCACCACGGTATCGACACACCTAGCACAATCAGCGCCTCGCCATCCAGCGCGCCCACCGCCAGCAACCCCACCAATGCCACTGAAAGCGACATCGGCGCCCACGACCTATCCCGCCCACACTGTCCTCGTACCTTCACCTCACACATTGGCCTGGTCGGTCACTTGCGAATCCATCGCGCAGAGACTGGCCAACCGGCGCCTGAAGCACCAACATACAGTCGTCGTAAGCGCCACAAATACCCTCGCACTTTCAGCAACCGCATGGACCTAATAGGCAACATTCGCAGCCTTGAAAACCAGCGGTAGACATCAGCCGGTCATATCACGTCATCACAACTTCCCACGCCAGCATCTCTACACATCAACTTCACACATTGTCCCATAACGCAAACATTCAATTGACACCTCTCATTTAAACGTCTGGTTTTGCCAAGCGTCGTGGCTTGGAAGGTTGCCGATTGACGCCTCAACTCAGTCTACTAAGTCATCGCATTTGTGCGTGTTTGTGTGGAGTGGCGGAGTGATGGACTGAGTCAGGCTGCAACGGCTCCTTCTTAACACCACCTCTGGCAATCTCACGCATGTAAGGGGTGGGTGTTTGCATGGATAGTGCCTCTCAGTCGATGACCGGCTAGTTACTTGGGCTTTGAGGGATGACGGCCTAGGAAAAGTGCACGGTTGCGTCTCACCCTTCTGGGACTTAAAGTTTGCATGCGTCTACCATGCCACGATTCAGCAAACTATAGCCCTCGCAGCCTGGTGAGAGCCAGTAGTTGTATGACACCTGCTTCCCCGGTGGTGGATGCGCTTGCGCTCCCGCCGTGTAGTGATTTGCGTCATCCTCCTCTTTCTGATCCGTATACCAGAGATTGTTGTAGTACACTTCGGTGCGGGTAGGGCCGTACCAGCCTCCTGTACCCTCCCCCCCCGTCGGTATTCTCGAGTATATCGTGACACCGAGCCCAGGCGGGGGAGGGGAGAGCGCGGTAAGTTCTGTGCAAGTCCACTATCACAATAAGTTATTTTACGCCCAATTCACCGCCCCTGCTTTTAGCCTGCTGTGGAACCCACAGTGGACATCATCGGCAACGACGATCTAACTGCCAGATCTTCTGCCTACTGCTATTAATAACGCTTCGAGAAGGCTAATCCAATGTTCTTTCGGTATTCCGCATGCTTTAACTCCAGTTTATTAGGGCTATCGTCAAAGTCCAAAAATATTAATTCGACAATTACATGTAAAGGCTCTTTAGACGTTTAGGCATTTCCATGCACAGTTAGATAATGCACACTGACTTACATTAACCAGCAATAAATACATAGTCAGAGAAAGATCGTCCACTTTATTTCATAGAAGAATATGTTCTTATCTTTAAAGCATAGTACTCGTGTCCATTATCCCAACATACGGCGCCGTCGCAATCTCAGATATTTTACTGTTTGAAAAGTCGGTAAGATGTGGATATGTAGAAACACCCGGTGAACACAGTAGTGTTGACCTACTTAATTATTTCGAGTTAGTGTGATAACGTTGGCATGACGTTCCTGTACTTTGCGTTGTGTGTTCTGTTGGCGACCATGATTCCTTGTTTCTGCGTTTACCTTTATTGGCCCACTCAATGTACAACCGTGCATTCCCAATAGTTTTTCTTTTGCGAAGACTTACTTGACCTCGTCGCCTGTGCGATCTCCGGCCCCATCTGTAAAATCCCCACTACCACCGGTCACGTATAACAGATGTCTGCGGTTAGTTTACCTCAGGTGCGGCTACATAAACACATATGATCGAAAAATCATCTATGGGTCGCATACTAGCTCATTACTGCCTAGCTATTGTATCGCCATAAGCCACCTCCAGTAAGGCTCGTTAAGTGTTATCATTGCATCCTCTCTCAAAGTACGAACTCATAGAACAGAACACTGATTCGGGGCAGCTCAAGTTCTCAGGGCAGAACCTTTGGGACAAAACTTACGGGTATGTGGGCATGCAGCACTGTGGGTCACAACAAAGAATACCGACGAGTAGTAGTGACATCTCAGTAGAACATGCGGAGTACGAATTAAAGTTGTGCGTCTCTCGTCGCTGTAGAAACACCTTGCACGCATTATGGCAAAAATCCCTTGTCAGACTGCCGTTAATGAGGCCGAATTCGCCAACCATATGACAAACTTAAAAGTCATTTCATTCAAATGCACGTCGCATCTAATGAACGCCCTCGCTACTTACGAGTAGGCGGGAGGACGGGGAACAAAAAGACAAAGGCTCCGCCAACAGCCGAACGCCCCCCCCTTTCTCCTCTTAGTGACCATCGAGGCGGTCACTTTCCCATTGTTGGACGTTCGAAACCAAAGAAATATAACTGCGAGAGGACGGCGTGTTGGCATGGGATTCAAAAATACGGAGCGGAAAACCGTCCTCGTAAGCCGTCGTTATACTCATGTTCATCATTGTTATTACAGTTTGACTCCTTAAGAGATTCGCTAAAAAGAGGCCTTCAGTGAGCGACATCTGATCCTATCCTGCAGGATTCCGAAACGAGACTGTTGTAGCAGTATTTGCCGCGACATTCATAAGTGCCCTATGTGTTCTTCGTCCCCCGATGGATGCTCCGACGTCTTACGAAAGTGAATAGCAGCCTCTGTGGAGGAAATGTAGATGTCAATTTAAAGTTTCAGGACATCCAATGAAAGACATTTGCCAGAAACGAATTGCATAAGGTATTTTACAGAGAAATGACAATAGAATTGTCAAGAGCAAAAAACTAAGGAGTGTGGTAAGTTTGGGTTGACAGATGGCCTTATAGCAAGCACTCCGTTACGACACAAAAATAGGGTCCCCATAATACATGTGGTGTTTCGCGGAATTTCGGGAAGGGTATTCCCTAACGTGTCCCAACCCTGAACCTAACATTAACCCAAATCGTACCGCAAACCTCCCAGGAAATCAGCACAAGGTCATTCAGTGTCCTACTTACGTTGTTCCACATCTGCAAACCTAAATCGCATTTTTCTTCCAAGTTATCCATCTGCCCACCCATATCACAGCATTTTTATCAACCGCAAGTACAGATATCCGAATGTGTCACCTCTTGATAACTAACACGCTCCACATGAATGCTTCAGTTTTCTCAGCTGTTTGATTTCTGAAGTGAACCCAAAAGGACCATGTAGGCCGCCAAAAGGCGACGTGAATAAGGACGAATATTAGTTCCTATTGTGGTGGTCCGTTTTCAGGCCGGTCGGCGCGGACGCTTACCCATGCCGCACCACTGGTTCGCCAAACACTGCTTTAAAGTGTGAGACGGCCTTCGGCTCGTCGACTCCTTGGTGCTGATCTGTATGTTTCTCATCTTCCATTAGTCGCATCCGTAGAAGGCTAAGGCGCATGAACTTGGCGTCCAGTTTAAAAACTTAAACGATTGACGCAGTGACGAGGAATCATCGATGATCGCATCCCGAAACCAAGGAGGCTCTACCTGGTGATGAAGTGATGTACGTTTTTTATCCGGCCGAATGTAGCTTTTAGCGACCTGAGTACATCATTCAACGTCTTAAAGATATTTTGAATTGTCTAACGAGAGTTTACAGGTTTCTGACCGTTTTAAATTCTGCAGTTAATAACGCGTTTAAAGGGTCAAAATTATGGAGTGCTCAAACTGCAAGAAAAACATTATGCATGAATCTTTGTTTATATTAAAAGCAGCCCTCAACCACACACTGCCATTCAAATAATTGTGAATCCATCACCTCGAACTAATTCTTTGTGCACTGGAATGCGTGCATGAAGTCGATGAATGTTAACACTGGAGCCGTGGCCTCCGGCTTATTGGAAGGAGTTATGGTGACACGAGTAATCCTGCCAGTTGTAAACTTTATCTCCATTTGTCGCGTTTGGCTTCCCAAATGTCCCGTAAATAGTACAACTTCCTTCCTCTCCACTGAAACCACACACGCACATATGTAAAAACTGTTTTATGTGGAAAAACTGTTATAAAAAGTGTTTTGCATGAATCAAATCCATTGGCATGACTTTAATGAAATCTTTGGCAACACTGAATAATGCACTTACCGAAAACCCCGAAGACCGATAAAATACTGTCGTTTCTTTTCTTTACCGAAATGTCCCCCGCGCGGTATATGGTCTGAAAGATGACGAACATGAAATGGTGCCGGAGGCGTTATTCTACTTGACTAGAAGCCTACTGCTGGGACAATGAAATAGATTAATGCCAAAATCACTTCAAAAATAAACCAAAATCAGTTTGACTGAACAAAACCAACTGCATCTACTAAACATGGAAGAAATAAAGGTACAATTAATCTATTTACTAATGATGCTTTTTCTTCAGTTCCAAGTAGTTATAAAATGGCGCATGCTAGTTTGTCAATTAAATAGGTTCCTCAGATTAATTCAAATGAATAATGCCATGCTTTTCCCTACACGCTAACGGTTCTCATGAAAGGCGCTTAGAAGCACCATTTAGACCGCGCAGTTGGAATGATAAAATTGGTTTCCGATGATTACCGAAAGTTTTCCATTGAACAGCAGAATATGAATGAGTCTTTCATTTTTGAGGATTTCTTTCGAGAAGATAGATACTACTCCAGAAGGCAGCGGTATATCTAAAGGAGAAATCATTAAATGCGGTATTTTTGAAACGCAATTTCTAAAGCTGCTTAAACTACAAGAGGCCAGCTTATTTTTTGCCTTAACTCAAAATAAATTCCAGCAGATCGATTGGCAACACACATAATCACCGTTAGGATGCATATTTCTGCCTCTTGTACTCTTTTTGTTTTCATGAGCTAAGTAAGTGACTTCACTAATGCCTGCCACGAAGATTAACGGATATAAACACATTTATGATACAATTTTAATGTAAATTGACTAAAATGGCTACTTTGACTTACACTCCGATATGCTAGCACTTGTGTATTGTACTCCAACAGAGCATCTGCCAATAGGATCCTTCGGCTCCAACACGAATGATGCCGGATATTCCTCCAGGAAACCATTAACGATCATGTACTGTCTGGCTTTTGAAGAAAAGATTTATTTGTAAATTTGGGACAGAGATGAGTGTGAAATACACCATGTAAATCTCATTTTAATACTTACCAGCATACTTTTGTCGTAAATATGAGGTAAATACGCCATAATTATAATTGCGTCTGTTTTTCCGAGTGCAATGTAATTTTCATTGAATATCTGGGACATAATTTTTCAAGAACGGAAGAAATATTAGAGTGGAAATTGTCTCACCACTAGTAAGCATTCCTTATCTCACTCGCACATACACTGATTG